ATATCCGGGGAGTCACTAGCGACTCCAGTAGTGACTCTAAGGGAGTCACTTAGGGAGTAGGAAACGAAGGATATATAAGGACACTCCCTCATATACTTAGTTTAGTTCTTCGTCTTAAATCATATATTGTTACTTATGTTTACCTTTTGGATTACTATGACTCTTTACTTGATTATAACTTAATAACACTTACGAGTAGACTAATACTCCGGTATAGATCTACTCGGCGCTCTATCTAGCATCAGTTCCTTAATCGCTTAAAAGGACTTAGGCTACTGTAAGGCCCTGCGCGGCATTAGCTCAGTTGAGACCCGATCACTGACGTTGGACCATTCGAGGAGTATTAAGGCAAGTATACCCTGAACCCATCTAACCTAACTGTGACCAGTTAGCTAGTGCGTAACACTAGAGACCTCGCTAAACTATTTTATAACTATATTAAACTATACTTTAGACCCCTTAAGGGTATTATATCCGACTATAGATTACTATTTATAAGTAAGTTCTAGTTAAAACTATACTACCTATTATAAATACGCTTTAGGCTTTTAATAGCGTTTTACTTATAAACCGATAGATAAATAGAATATATAAACTAAACGCTTAAATATTACCTCCGGTACTTTATAAACGATAAGTCTTATAGGCTTCTTTACTAAGATCTACTAAATTCGTATATAATAATACTATTAATATAATAACTAGTATATCTCTATTCTAGGCCTTATTAGGATACTTATCTAACTTCTAGTAACGTTTAGAGGGCGAAACTCCTTATAGAAAGGTTTTAATAGCGTCCGCGCGAGTTAAGAAATTAGAAAATCTTTACTAGAAATTATAGGAATACTAGCGAAAAGTAAACGAAACTATAGTAAAATATTATAATAAAGACTACGTTCTAATATAATTTAAAAAGGGAGATCTTATTAGCCTATTAATAAAAAACCTTAGATTTAAAAAGAGTAGAAAATTAATACCCTACTTTATTAGCCCTTTTTACGTTTTATAGGCTATTAGAAAATAAGCTTACCGCCTAAGCTTACCTTAGTAATATAATTAAATCTATAATATCTTCTATATAACCCTCCTCGAACTATAGAGAAAACTACTTAGAAAGGGTAGCGAATCCCTACTAATACCCGATTTAGAAGATAAAGAAGAATATAAAGTCGAAGAAGTATATAATAAAAAATAAATTAAGGATAAAAAATACTTTCTTATTAAATAGAAAGGATAGCTCTTAGAATATAACTAATAGGCTCTCTAAAGAGATATAAAAAATATAATTAAAGTAATATACTTTTACTAGAAGCGGAAAAAAGAGAAAAAAACCTTTAGTTATTATAAAGAGATAGCGAAACTACCCTAAAAGATAAGAGAAACCTAGCTAATAAATAAAAAAGGGGATATCGAAATAGTAGTATAATAAAAATATCTAAAAATATAATTAGGCCTACTCTTAAATCTCCTTTAAGAGAATAGGGAAATCTATTATAGTCCGCTCCTCTATCTTATTACCCCCGATAGAAGTATTATTATTTATATTAGAGTCTAGGGTATCTTAAGCCTTATAAACCTCCGCCGAAATACCTTCGAAAAATACCCGCTTTATTAGGGTCTATAAAATATATCCCTTATCTCTAGATAAAAGATATATTAGTCCCTTTAAAAAATAGGTTACTCTTTACTCCTAGATATTAAAGAAATTAGAGGTAGCGATAGGAGGGAACGCGGATTAGCGGCCTATAAGAAATATATTATAGTCGGTATAGGTTTACTACCGAAACTATAGTTAGAGAACGCCGAAAACCTTATTTAAAACTACCTTATTATATATCTTAACCTAGGTCTTATTACCGGTTAACCTATACTCCTTATAATAAGCTTACTCTAAAGCGTCGAAGGATTTATAGAGCTCTATTATTTTCTTAGCGACTATTTAACGAGTTTCTATAGAAAATAGCTATTCTAGCTCGCTACTATCCTCCTTAATACTATTAATATTAATCTAATTTAGCTAGAATACTTTATAGACCTACGCTAATATATTACTTAAGTCCTAATAGTCGCCGAGTACTATAATCGCGGCCTAAGAATTATTAGCCGCTACCTCTATATATAAAACTTAGCGAAACCTATAGGAATATATATCGAAGCGCGGCTAAAATACTACTTATACGCGATAGAAGCCTTAGCGTTTATTATATAGTTAATTTTAAAAGGGCGAGTCTAGTCCTCCTTCTACTCGGCGATTATAGTACGTAGGTAGTATATATACTAGAGGATCCTAATATAAACTAAGGCCTCTAAAAGAGGGCGGGTATTATATATAGGGTTTCGTCGAGGTATCGTAATATTTCCGGTACCTCGAAACCGAAGAAGAGCTAATAAAACGACGATTTTAATAAAGAGAAAAGAGAGGGAAATAAGATATAAAGAGTAGAAGTAAAATAAAGAGAGGCTATAGGATTATAATAAAAGAATACGTCCCCTATTCTTATAGGCGAGATCTTACTTTATTTGCCTACCTTACGCTCCTACCTATTTTATATCGTTTACCCTATTATATACTTCCTCCTAATTACCTATTACCCCGCGTAAGGGTACGCGATTCTTAAAGGAGGGATGATTTATTATAATATAATTAGACGTAAGGCTATTCCTAGATTAGTACCTTAGGCCTATAGGAGGTTTAACCTTTCCGGAGGGGGATCGCCTATATTTCCCTATCCTTCCGAGAAGGGCTCCCTACGGGAACGAGACCCCGCTCTACGTATTATATTTCCTCCCGCTATTAATATAGGGAGACTATATATAAATTGGACAATATAGAGGAAGCCTAACGGCTCTTTAAGAAACAGTCTTTGACTTTTAGGAACCACCTATCTTGTTACCTTCTCCTACCTGATTGATAGGCACCTACCCTGACTTATAGAGTATCTTTTAATAGAGAGGAGAGGATATCGTTTTACGAATTTTATAACCTAATTTTAGCCGACTAAAAGAACTAGGGTAGTTCTACGCTTTTAAAGAAGAAGATCTACTGTTTCTCGTACTATAGAGGGCCGAGGGGCTACTCTACGAGAGTCTATAGAGAGGATCTATTTTTAAAGAGATTCCTCTTTAATTTCCGTCAATTTAGAGTAATTAGCGCGTAAAGTCGCGTAGTATTATATCCTATTAATTCGGTGGCGAAGAGTTATACGTAGTATATTAAAACGGCGCGCTATTTCACGAATTGAAGAGATTTCTTGATTCTTAAAAGCCTAGATAGCTAGTAAGACCCTACCCTCTTGCTCTATTGAATTTTTAGAGCTCCGGGGGCGTATTGGTAGCATAGTGGGTGGTTGAAGAAGAAGGGGTTAAATTAATTGACGCGTTTTGGATGGGGTAGGCCACTCGGTGGTGAAATACGTTAACTACTTATATCTTAGTTATATAATATAATTATATAAGCTATAAGAGTTACCTAATACTACTTCCCTACTAAAATATTATAACCTACTCCTAGGGTATAATATTATATCTGCTAAACTGCTAATAGAACTAATACTAGGTAGAGCGCCGAGTAGATCTATACCGAGGTATTAGTCTACTCGTAAGTGACTATCGAAGTTGTAATATATAATTCTAATTTAGATACGTATAATAAGGATCGGGTTTCGGTACTTCTTATTTAAGATTAAGGTAGTAGAGATAGACCGGTATAATTATAATAAGGGCTTATAAATACTAAAGTATATTCTTATATAGTATCTATAGTACGTTATCCCGCGTATAAAATTATAGGAGTAGCTATATAGAATTAGGATTAGATTTATAGAGGTAGACTATAATAAGATCATATCTAACCTATAGGCTATCCGCTACGTAGTCAACTTTATATACCGAATAGGTCTCCTCTAGTAGTTATAATATATAGAACCTAAGAAGGACGAGGACGACGAACCGATAGGTATTAGCTAATAACGACAAATAATACTATAAAAACGAGAACTTAGCTATAGTCGACAACTATGCTAATCAACTAGCTAGGACAACGTCATTATCAATTAAAACTAAGGTAGGGGAGGGTATAGAGAAAGAGAGAGAGGGAGAGAGAAAGAGGGAGAGAGAAAGAGGGAGAGAGAAAGAGGGTTAGAAGGTAGAGGGTGCACTCTATATCTATCAATATATATTAATTTCTTATATATGGGATTACGTGTTTGAGGGGTTCTGTGGGTTATAGGAATGGGCTGATTCCGCACTCTTTACGATCAGTATCTGTGTACTCTAAGGGATGGACTGCATTTCGTGGTCCCAGCTCGGCGTTTGGCTTCGAGTTCTTGCTTCAGTTGGATGAAGCGCCTGCAGTCATACGCAAATAGTTAGACTGCAACAGGTTAATTGAACTTTGATTGATTGATTGATTGATTCTGGTATCTCAACCGTTCACTCCTTCCATTAATATCAATCAGTAGCTGACAGCCAACCTCAGGTTTTCTTCCATCCAACCCATCCCCACAAACACTCATGTAGGAATCATTGATCCAATATACAACAAAGGCCCACTCTTCTGGTACCGCTCGATCGGAGTATTCGAACAGAGCTGGAGGAGCAACACGCGCTCAGTAAGGAAGGAAGGAATTGTGCTCCCGTTTGCGGGAGATGTGCTTTTTGGGATAGCGCAGACAGTTACAGGAGAGAAGCCGATGTACCTCGATTGAATTTTAACGTATTTGGGTGACGTGGCGAGGGCGGGATACTCCCCGGCTAGGGCTGTATATGCGCAGATTATGGAGGCGCATGGTCAAACGCCAGAGTTTAGGAACGAAATTTTGGAAGAGTGGATGCTGCAGGCTGTTTCTGGGGGGTACCTTTTTGCAAAGCCTAGTAGACTAGAGAAGAGAGTGGAAGAGGCGAACGACCAGTTTAGAAGGTAGGGGTTTTTGTTCAGACCCCTTCCTGAGGAAAAGTGACGTTAAGATGGCAATTGACAGGGAAAAGTGCTGGAATGGAAGATGAAGAACGGGAATTTTGATCGTAAACGGAATACGATATTGCATGCTGCAGCAACATCTGGGGCTGTTGATGCGTTGCAGGGTCTAATGGATGATAGAAAGATAACCGTGGACGAGGAGAATGAAAATGCCGAGACACCATTGTATAAGGCGTTTCAAGCAGGACTTACGAAAGTGATTGAGGTTCCGCTTGGCCATGATGCGAATGCATCCTGTAGAACTCAGCAGAAGATCACTCCTCTGCATTGGCTGTTTATGATCCCCGAGGGTTCGATCTGTGAAATCACAAAACGGTTGATTGAAAGAGGGGCAGATATCAATGCAGTGATGGAGCCCGTCAAGGAATACAACAGTGGATATCCAGAAAAGATCGAGATACTTCATTAGTATGTTTTTCTTCTCCGTGTCAACATCGAACTAACAGGTCAGCCCGTTTGAACTTCCACATAGGTCACCTCTTCACTGGGCATTTTTCTTCCGCAATATGATGGCCATCGACGCTCTCATTTCCCTTGGGGCCAATGTCAACGTAGTCTATCATGGGTTAGATCCGTCAACTACTCCGCTTTCATTGGTAGCGTACTTTGGGGAACCTATGATAGCCAAATATTTGACATCTCATGGTGCAGACGGCGCTTTATTGGGCTCAGTGGGACGAAATAACTTGCACTGAATCACCAAGTATTTCCCTGACCGACATGGATACCTGCGTCATCACTGGCATTATTGGAACCGGCATGGAACTTGGGAGCATCATTTAGCGCAGATCGCGGATTTAGTCAATATATTGGTCGAGGCTGATGCAGACATCAACGCTAAGGACAAGGGAAAACCTTGTTTAGCCCCTATTGCAGCGGCAGCCGATCGAGGATGCTGGGATGGGGGTATAATATGTGCACTGTTGGATGCTGGAGCTGATTTGGGGGGATCAGTTCTGACCACGGGAGATGCAGTCCTGCATTCATGGGCGTCTATCGTTGGACCACGTCTGGATTATCCCGATTCATACATACCGACATTAACAAAGATAGTGAAGGCTATACCAAATCTTGACATCTGCATCCGGTTCGAAGAGGCTACTCCGCTCCATAAGTTGACAACCATGTACCACCCAGAGGACGAATTCGAGGCTGCATGCAAGATTTTTCTCAGTCACCCCCGTCCAGCAGACATCAATGCAAAGACCCGCCGCGGTGATTTCCCACTATATATTGCTCTGGAAATGAACCGATCCTGCACGACGCGGCCGATTCTTGCTCGAGAACGGGGCCGGTCCCCTCGTTCTCAACTACCGAGGGCGAGACATCTTCTATTCAATTGCCAACAACCTTGTTTCGACTGACCAAGACAGTCACGACCTCATCCAGCATTTTCTCCTCCATCTCAGCCCTGGTATCCAAAGGGCCGACACAAAGTACTACCTCCACACCCCTAGCAGCAATGAACCCCTCTTCGCCGCCACAGAGAGCGGAAAACCGCTCACATTAAACTTCCTCCTCTCTCTCGGTCTCGCCAGCTACATAAATAAGCCCAACACATCGAAGTCCCCACCATGGACCCCACTAGATCGAGTTCTCCACTCCGCCGAGCTCGGCCGCCGTGCACATATGCGGAGATTGGCATCATACAAACCTGGTGGAGCACGCACCAAAGCGCTGGAGCAAAAACCTCGTCTACGATGGAATCTAAGGTCCACCAGCAGGTGCAGCTGAGTCGTACAAGTCATTTCCAGAGGTCATCCGGATTCTTCGAGATGCGGGAGCTAAACGGACATGTGAGTTGGAGGGTACAAAGGTAGATTATATTGAGCAACCGAGGGAGTGGGACGAGAAAGAAATTCAAAATTATGGATTTACAGTGGAAACGCAATCGAATGTGGAAGCATGGAGGGAATTGTATGAATTGGCTGGGGGCGTGTTGATGGGTAAGTGACAAGTCCTGTATGTACCTCTAGGGCTGGACTGATCACATGCATGATTAGTCGTCTTGTCTTTTCTGACAAATCACCCATTTCTGCCCTTGAACCTGGGCGAAAGCTCAAAGGTTCAACATTGATGGTATTATATTGCATAACTACATAGTTGTTAACTGTACACATATGTATGTATACATGGGAAAAGTCGCCTGTTTTTATATTTTATATTTTATATTCTACGGCTAATTATTCTTACCCTCCTAGTTACAACACCAAGAGGGAAATATGGAAAAAAAAAGAAGTATCTACAAAGACTTTGAAAACGACCAATCCGTTTAAAATACAGTGAACCCTAGTTATAACGAACTTGGATATAACGAATACCTGGATTTAACGAAATAAAACCGGTGCTTCATTTGATCCGCCATAGTAATAACGAATTTTTCTCGTTACTACGAATTTCGTTATTTCATCATTTCCCCCATACAAAATTCGTTATAAAGAGGTTTTGTTACGTCATTTTGTATCGATATTAACCAATGAAATGCCTCGCTATTTAATCACGTGATAATTAGCCAGTTTCAGCCAATCAAAATACCTCACCTCTCGATCCTCACCTCCTAGAAAAGTGGCTCTACTAGAGTAGTTAATTAGTGTGCTTGATAGACATGAAAGGTTAGTAGAAGCGAGGGAATGAAGGGTATAGAAGCAGAATGATATCAGGGACCTTTATAGGGTATAAAATTGTATTTAAGCCAGAGATACTACATGATATATATTATATATGGCACCTGGATTTTACGAATACCTGGATTTAACGAATATTTTACCGTGTTTCATTTAATTCGTTATAACTAGGTTTTACTGTAATACATTATGTTGTATATACTTCACCCTGGACAGTTCGATCTAATCTCTTCCTCGGGATATCCGGCAAACTCGGAGTGGCAAAGTGCGGGATGTGAAAGGCTTAGTCAACCAATCAGAGTGGCTGATATTCACCTTATCCTCGGCCTCCCCAATTCCCTTAAATTCCACCTTTGGATCTTCCAAGGTTGTTCCTTAGACTCTTGTCTCCATCTCTCTCTTTTCCTTTCCCTTTCCCTTTCCCTATCTCAAACATGTCTTTCTCAAATTTGGTCTCCGACATTGCATTTCGTGATACTCGTGTAGATGATGGCAGCTCGCAAATCTCTCACGCTCGATCTCACCGGTCTCACGCGACCGCTCGGTCGTATACCAGCACCGCAGCCACGAGCGTCAGCATTTCGGGCGAAGTTTCCAGCCAGTTACATTCTGGATATAGCCATCCCCTAACTAGAGCATGGCAGGCCGACAGGCAATTGACAAAGGTCCGCCCTCCACGTCATGAGACACATAATGAATGGCACTGGCAACTCAATCGCTAATACATTATGTCTATAGGATATGCTCATCTATCCGTTGTTCATCACGGACAATCCTGACGAGGAGACATCAATTCCTTCGTTGCCCAATCAATACCGCCGTGGAATCAATCGCCTGGTTCCTTTTCTCGCCCCCCTTGTTCGGAAGGGGCTACGCTCGGTAATGCTATTTGGTGTTCCGCTTCAGCCATCCGCCAAAGATGCATTGGGAACTGCCGCAGATGACCCCGATGGCCCTGTGATTCAAGCTATCCGTCTTCTCCGATCTCGTTTCCCTCAACTTTATATCACAACCGATGTATGCCTCTGCGAGTATACGTCGCACGGTCACTGTGGTATCTTACGAGAAGATGGAACCCTCGACAATGCGCAATCCGTTGATCGGATCTCCGATGTAGCTATTGCCTACGCGGCAGCTGGGGCTCACTGCGTGGCCCCATCAGACATGAACGATGGAAGAATCCGGGCTATCAAGCTCAAGTTGATTGAAGCTGGTGTGGCACACCGTGTACTTTTAATGTCTTACAGTGCCAAATTCAGCGGCTGCTTATATGGGCCGTTCCGTGATGCAGCTGGCTCCTGTCCCTCATTCGGGGATCGTCGGTGCTACCAGCTTCCCCCAGGCGGTCGCGGTCTTGCCCGACGTGCGATACAGAGAGACATGGCCGAAGGTGCAGATATTATCATGGTGAAGCCTGCCAGCAGCTACCTTGACATCATTCGGGATGCCAAAGATTTGGCACCAGATCTTCCAGTAGCCGCCTACCAGGTCAGCGGTGAATTTGCAATGATCCACGCCGCTGCCAAGGCCGGTGTCTTCAATCTCAAGGATATGGCCTTCGAAAGCACCGAAGGCATATTAAGAGCAGGCGCTGGGATTGTGATCAGCTATTTCGTCCCTGAATTCCTCGATTGGCTTTAGTTCACTCAAGTCGCCATTTTTCTCCTCTCCTTACACTTTCTTCACTCCAAAAGTGCGATTTTCGGGCCTCTCATTTCCGTGTGATTACTATTGACTGCATTTTTATATCTGACTTCTATCGTGGGTCTGATGTATTAAACATAAAATGCTACTCGAAACTGAATAGATTCCCCTTTATGTGAACATGATGTTTCCATTTTCTTGGTTGTTAACGATTACCCCTTATTACAATCTTATTAATTTCTTCTTTTCTTTTCTCTCTCTGCTAAATCGATAGTATATCAGATATTTGCTTTCTATAATTAACAAGTATCAAACTTTGCAGCAGAATCGAGTTTGAATTGAGGTAAATAATGCAGAGACATTGTGTATAGACTGCAAGATGACATCCGGTTCGCCGCACAAAACGCTAATAACATACAAATGTAAAGAAAAACCGGTCGTCAGCGACAGTGGATATCAAAATCAAAAACAATAAAATCAGAAAAAAAATAAAAAAAAATAAAAAAAATTAAATAAAAAAAAATAAACTCAAATGGAACCAGAAGAAACCCATGGGGGAGGTCATGATTTTGTTCCCCCATCTATAGGCGTTGGTAGACCCAACACCGTACTAGAAGGTCATTCGGCATTTCCACGTACAAAAAATCAGTACACATCATTTCGTTCACATAGCAAAGCTAGGTTTTGACCCCTGAAACATGTAACCCGCAATGTTCGTGTTGACAATCTCTCCTGGGGCCACATAAACGCCACGGGCAAGACGAACCCCCGGGTAGATGATGCACCCCGCGCCCACATAACAATCTTCTTCAATGATGACTTGCCGACCTTGATACCGACTTTGCGAGCCTTTGCGCTCTTGCATGTTGGGATGAGCAGTTGAACTAATTATTTTGACGTTGGGCCCTATCCAGGTATGAGCACCGATGCGGATGACACAGTCATCCACAAACAGGCAATTCTCCGAGATCATGACGTCTTCCCCGATGTGGAGATTATAACCGTAATGGCAACTAAAAGGAGCCTCAACGACCGCCCCTTGACCAATGGATCCGGCAGAGCGAGCCACGCCGGTTCCAGCTGGCGAGTTGACAATAGAAGATGCCGGGGGCACGATGACCTCTTTCAGGAGGCGGTTTTGCTCTTTCGAACTGATGCCGTTGAGCGGATTGCAGGCGTTGTTAAATTTCCATAGTGCGCCTCGGCAACGATCTCTTTCCTCCACGAGGTGGACGTCAAATGGTCGGTAGAGTTTGCCTCTGATCATTTTTTCCTTCTCGGTCTCGTCACTCGATACGGTACGGCCAGAAAGCTGATGCTCGATACTAAGTGCCATCCGAGCCTGCGCCTGGGGACTATGGGTATCCACAGCCGCCGCGGGCAACGTTCGTTGCTCGGGCCCATTTTGGAACAAGGGCATATTGGATTTAGGATGAGATGGATGACTGAGGTCCCGAAGTGAAGAGATGACTGGATAGTCAGGTTTGGGACGTCCTTCCCGCGACAGCTCATGAATGGGTGGAACTTCCCGATAATCGACGACTTTCGCCATGGGTTCGGACGTATAAGGGGGATGGCTGGTATTGGACCCAGGCCCCGGAGCGGCACCTGGCCAAGCTTGCTTTGACCACGCATGGTTGGATGGTGTAACTGTTGGGCTGGTGTTGTATTGTTGCGCGGGTCGGTCATTCTCTTCCACCACCAGGGGCCTGATTTTTGTCGCGTCGACATGCTCCACTAGGCTAGGCCGGTCTTGGTGTCGAGGTGTTTCTTGCATATACGAGCCATTGATGTCTGAATAGCCTTCTTTGGATTGTAAAGGGATTGGGGCTTTTGTACTAGATGGCTTTTGCCAGGTGCTTCGGGATGAATACCCTTCACATAGGAAACCCCCACGAAGACAGTTGTTGCCTACAATGCATCATTAATGTCGTTCCTTCGGTTGAATTTGGACAGGGAAAAATTTAAGGAAACAAAAAAAAAGGCCGCCGGGGGGGGGGGGGGAGCTAGAGCGGTTAGGAGTGGACTTACACGCTGGATGTTGCTCGTCGCATTTCTTTTTTCTGCGGCGACAGGTCATACAGCCTGTCTTCGTTCGGTTACTAAATACGCGCTTTCTCTTTGGAGCCACCTGCATTGCTCCATGTCGATCTGGCGCATAACTAGGAGAGGACGGTTGTTGAGTACCGGGGGTCGAGCGATTTGTCATGGACCTTTCTTGGCCTGTCTCGCGTTGAAGAGCGTCTGCTAGGTGGGCATCCGATGCATCGATTTGCTGGGCCCGTTGTGCCTGGGTGATCAGCTGAGAATCATATTCTGACCAAGGACTATTGGCGGAAGTCTGGCCTGCATCATTGCCCTCGGACCGATGAGACGGTGTTGCAGAATGATTGCCACGCTCCATCTCCGAGACCGATCCTGGCATGCTGCCATTCGGATTGGGTTGGCTACTCTCGGCAGGTCGGTTTACCGGGCTCCTGGAGGCGTTTGCGGAATCTCGTTCTCGGGACTCTGATCTCTTTCTCTTGTTTTTGTTGTGAGAACTGGGCGAAGATCTTTGTGAACACTTTTCTTGATCATTGGCAGGCTCATCCCGATCATCTCGATGACTGGAATCTAAATTGGTCTTTTCCTGGGCCGGTATACGTTCTCCGTTAGGGATAGAACTGGATGTTGA